AAGTGGGAATGGAAGGATCATAACTCAACATAATAAAATCCATATATGATAAACCTACAGCCAACATCATACTCAATGGGAAAATACTAAAACCATTTCCCCTACGAACAGGAACAAGAGAGAATGCCCACTTTCACCACTCCTGTTCAACACAGTACTGGAAGTGCTAGCCATAGTGATCAGACAAGAAGAAAAAAATAAAAGGCATCGAAATTGAAAAAGAAGAAGTAAAACTGTCATTATTTGCAGATGACATGATATTGAACATAGAAAACCCTAAAGACTCCACCAAAAAACTACTAGATTTAAAAAATGAATTTGACAATTTAGCAGGATACAAAATCAACATACAGAAAATGATGGCATATTTATACACCAATAATGAACTCTAAGAAAGAGAAACTAAGAAAAGGATCACATTTAAAATTGCAACAACAACAAAAATAAGTTACTAGGCATTTACATAACCAAGGAGGCAAATGGCTTGTACTCAGAAAACTATATGACACTGAAGACACAGAGGAAGATACAAACAAGTGAAAGCATATACCATGTTCATGGGGTTGGAGGAATTAATATAATTAACATGCCCATACTACCCAAAGCAATCTATAGACTGAATGCAATCCCTATTACAATACCAATGGCATATTTCAAAGACCTATAACAAATGCTCCAAAAATTTATATGAAAACAAAAAGGATTCCAAGTAGCTGCAACAATCTTGAGAAAGAAGAACAAAATTGGAGGGATCACAATACCAGATATCAAACTATACTGCAAAGCCCCTGTAATCAAAACAGCCTGATATTGGCACAAAAACAGGCAGATAGATCAATGGAATAGTACAAAGAGCCTATAAATGAACTCATACCTTTATGGTCAATTGATATTTGACAAAGGAGGCAAGAACATACAATGGAGTAAAGACAGTCTCAACAAATGTTGGGAAAATTGGACAGGTACATGCAAAAAAAATGAACCTAGACCAGCAACTTACACCATATCCTATATAATAATCCTATATAATAAAGAGGTAATATGCAAATTAACCCTCACGCCCTCACAATAAGCTGCCTATGACCAGGCCGGCAGGGGGGTTAGTAAGGGACGATCAAACAACTGAAAAAGCAGTCTGCCTGGGGCAACCAGGCCGGCAGGGGGGTTAGTGAGGGACGACTAAACGACTGAACAAGCAGGCTGCATGGGGCGACCAGGCCAGCAGGGGGGTTAGTGAGGGATGACCAAATGACTGAATAGCAGGCTGCGTGGGGCAACCAGGCCAGTGGGGGGGCCGTGAGGAGCAATCCGGCCAACAGGGGGGCAGTTGGGGTGACCA